GAATTTAAGAATTCCGATTATACAATTCTCCAAAAGTAGAACCGTAATTTACGAGAAATGTGGTATACGAGAATTAGATGAGTTTCGCCCGCTTTCTTTCCGCGTCGAAATCGTTTCCGTCGACACAACAATTAGGGTCTTCACCGAGGGGGGATTCCCCCTCAAGAGCGTGCAGTTTGGGGGACATGTATCGATCAGCGGCGTTTGCAGTTTTGTGCGAAACCCATCCGGCATTAACGGGGGGTTCGGGAGACCCTCGTGTCCCCCGAGCTCTCATTAACGTGTCAATGGAAAAACCGAGAAGAGGATCAATATCGCGCGTCGATATCGTTGCTCCGGGTTCACGCGCGCCTCGTCGTTAACTGAATCTATTATGTAAACGCCTCCTCGTGCGTGAAATGGCCGCCTCACGTGTAAAGTCTTCGCGTAAGGTGTACATTGCAAGATCGACGGCCACGTAATGTCGCGGATCGGGGTTACGATCGTGTGTACTGTCGTAATATGATCAGCGAACGTGCTCGTAATGAAGACACGAATAATGGCTAAACGCGCGTCACACAGCCGACTATTTTGTGATACGAAAGATTTTTAGTACCTAATCACTGATTATCGAAAAATAAATTTTGACCAACGTGACTTCGAGGTTGTCACTGCATTCTCCTAATGTTTACATACATTTGTACATTAGCAAGGTTATTATTATATTATATTATTATATTATACTATTACTCTTAAACTATCCGGCGTTGCCTGGAATTATCGCAAAAGAGATAAAATAGGGGAAGAAAGTGGAGTCCAAGTTTCATGATAGCCTTGCCTACATTTTCAGGGGTCTAAAGAGTAACCTGAGTAACTATGCAATTTTGCTCCAGATCAGTCAAAAGAGTTAATATAAGGAACATACACACATTCTATTATATATATTTTTTTAAATTTTATTATTGATTATTATTATTATTCTGTGAGACATGACGTGAATTATAGATCACACGGAGAGGGCTTATAGACCATTCGATCATTTCGTAAATTTCGTAATACAAATACGTCTCGTGCACAGTAAAGAAAGACAACGGAACGAGACGTTCGCGTTGTCTGCGGTGGCACGCGTGGTGCATCGGTCGCGTGGGTGGGCGGGAGATGCACAATTGCAGCGAGCGAATTACGTGCCCGTTGGCGTCTCGTCGGGGTCGCCGGCTCCTCCGTAGACAACCGGTCCTGCCGTAATTGCGATCGCGAACAATTCGCGCGATTGCGCGAGCGTGGGCACGGACGGACGCGACTCCGTTTCATCCGCGTAGCAAATCGCGCGGAGGAATCGCGTTCTGTGTCGCGGTATTAGAAGAAAAGCTCTGTCGCGGATACAATTAAAAAACCGAAAGATTTGATAAAAAAAAAGAAAAAAAAACAAGGAAAGTTCGGTATTTTTCAAACCCCCTTACGAT